AACCATCACCCGTTATATGTTAATCGCCATGAGCCTGACGTATATCGGTATCGGCGTCATGTACTACCAAGAAAATCTCCTCAGCAGCGAGAATACAAGCAAAGGCATGATATTAGTTGGCTGCTCTGCCTTGAGTTTTGCGGTGTACATGGTCTTGAGCAAAGGCTATATCCAACAAGTCGGCAGTCGCTTGTTTACCAGCCTCGCCATGCTCGCCTCCTCAGTGTTTATCTTTAGCCATTTTATGCGTCGTGGTAGAACGGCCAGTTACCTGAGCCGTCCCCACACAGATCCGGACGTGCGGAATTACCGCATCCGGCTCCTCAGTTATACAAATGCCCGTGTAAAGCACTAATACCAATCCACCAGAACATGACGTTTCGTCACCCTCGGTGGTGCTATACGAAAATACCCTAACATGTGTTTAAGACCACGCCAATCATAACTCCTGCGCTGACTGCGTCGGTTAAGCCATTTATATAAGCTACGCAGTACATGACTGTGTAGCCGATCAAGGCTCCGACTATTATCAGGCAAACCGTAGTAATTCCTAAACCCTGTTAGTTTACGCCTCAAACTTGGCATCCAATACCGAAGGGGTTTTGAACGCATTTGTTTGATCCATTGGTAAAGCGTACTCAACGTAGCGCGTTGTTTCTTCGGGGCGGTTCGCCGCCTCAGTCGGGGTTCTTTATTGAAATCAATATCCCAATAAAACTCAAACCCCAAGAACTGAAAGCTGTGCTTTCTCCCCGGTCGGAAACGACTGAAACGCATCAGCCGCGTTTTATCTTCCGCTACTGACAACCCAAATTTATTGAGTCGTTTCGGTAACACCCGATAGAAACGCTCAGCTTCACGCTGAAATTGAAAAGCTATCACAAAGTCATCCGCATAACGGATCAGCATCGCTCGACCTTGCAGTCTGGGTTTCACCTGCTTTTCAAACCATAGATCAAGCACATAATGCAGATAGATATTCGCCAGCACCGGACTAATAACTCCACCTTGCGGCGTACCGGATGTTGAACGTTGAACTCTACCATCGGGTGACTTCACCCGTGCTTTGAGCCATTGTTTGATCAGTGTCAGCAGTGCTTTATCATCGATTCGTTGCTCCAGCATTTTCACCAGCCAATCATGATCCATGTGATCGAAGAAGCCTTTTATATCGGCCTCGACGATGTAACCATAACCTTTGTATTGCAGGTTTAATGCCAGTGAGTGAACCGCCTGATGCGCACTCTTCGCAGGACGATAACCATAACTGTTCGGTAGAAAATCAGCTTCCCAGATAGTCTGAAGAATCTGACTCACGCTTTGCTGTACTACTTTGTCATCGACCGTGGGTAAACCCAGCGGTCGTTGCTTTCCATTAGCCTTCGGGATGTAAACACGTTTGATGGTGTTCGCCCGATAGCGTTTTGCTTTGAGTTGCTCGTCTAACCGTTGAATATTTTCGAACAGACTACTTTCATACTTTGAGGGTGTTATACCATCAATGCCTGAAGCGGCCTGCTTGTTTAGCTGTCCCCAACTTTGATACAGCAAATCAGTCTTTAGTAATCCATATAAATTCTGAAAGCAGTGCCGAGGATGGCTTCGTGCTTTAAATGCAATGTCGTGCAATGTGGTTGTCATAGTGATTCCAGCCCTACTTTGTCCGGCCTATGTGTCTGTTACACAACGGGTATAACTGTCAGCCCCTTCGCCATGCAGACGGCTTTCCCGTCCTCAGACTACTATGAGCTGATCCGACTTCCGGTTTGCCTTCGTTAGTCTCACCTTTTCGGCTTAACGTCCCTACCTGTTCCTTCAGGAGCAACTCCGGATCTCTCAAGTTCCTAATGCATCTCTACTCACATGCCACGGCTTAAGAACTCCGCTGACTCACCGCAATCTCACCTGTAATGATTGCTTCGCATGGACTTCAGCTGCGTTACAAGCCTTGTCAGTCAGGACTCACATTCTCGGAGCGATACCAGCACTTCAGGGTCACGATAACCCCTATGGCCTATGAGTTTCTCTGTGTACGCTTCACCTATCTTGTTCACTTGCTGTGGTACGCAACCACCGGAAAAACTGAATTGATCCACAAGCTCCGCCATAGGCGCAACACTCGATACGGGTGGCTGGTTAAGCCTTACCCGACAGGGACTTCACCCCGTAAGATGCATCAAGCTTCGCTTGACGCACTAACGCCGCGCTTTGCGGAGAGCGAGCGCAGCGAGTGATTCCGACAAGAGCGCTTTGTTATGTGATTCTATTTTTCGAATATACACACTTCACCATCATGGTTTACTAACAAATATAAATGCCCTTTTATAATTGAAATTAGCCCTTCAAGTAAGTAGTAGTCGCCATCAATAGC